TGTCAGAGTGCCCCTCTGTTTCCATCTGCTGCACAGCAACAAAGTGTTACAGAATATTGGTGGGAAAGTTCAGCCTCTGCTGCCATGCCACCAACATCTGCCTCTGATGTCATGGGCCAACATAATAAAACAGGAGCTGTTACTTTCAGAAGAGTCCTCATATTTCCACATAATATACTATACAAAACTAGTCCTTAAAAGCAGCAATGCTTGTGTAGTAATTGCTGAACAGTAATTACTTAAGAGTAATTACTTAGAAGTAATTACTGTTGTCTTGTTCAGCATATCACTTATGCCTCATCAGAAATGATGACAAACTACAAATGGTAAATCCACATCCAAAGACTTCACAAACACAAGGTTTTCATTTGAGGTGGTGCCAGTTTGGTGTTTAAATAATTATCAAACCCAAATAGCTTTCTCCTTAAACTACATAGTTCAAAGTACTCCCTACCCTTTTAATCCAAGCATCAATCACCAGTAACCAAATTAGACTCAGAGTAAAAACATACTACTCTCCAGACACTAACTTAAATTTACCGTAACAAGTACTGGCCAAGTTAAACAAGCAGTGAAAGTGGTGGTCGGGGGGTACTGACTGATTGGTGAGTTCCTCATTTGTTCTTCAGTGCTCAGGGCAGCATTTAAGCAGTTTTGTTTCTTTTTTCTTTATTTTTAAATGAAACCTTCTTTCTCCTTCTGGCTCTGTTATCTCTTGATGTAGCTGGTGTTGCATGAGAAATTGCCTCTTTTCAATGGCTGGAAGCAGATTTTCTATCAGCTGCAGTAAGGTCTCCTAATTTATTTAATAAGCCTAGATAGGTATGAAATGGAGTATTAGGAGCTGCTGATGAAAAAAAAACCAAACACCTGAAACAGAATTTTCTGTTTATTAGGGTGGTTTGGGGAAAAAAAAAAAAAAAAGAAGAAGAAGAAGAAGAAAGAAAATATCTGTATTAATAACACCAGTTTGTATAATTGGTGTTTGGATTATGGCATGATTATTACTTTGCAGATATAGGACTCTGTTATCACTCAGTCATCAACGAAGTAGCTGCATTCTGTGCTCATCTCATCTCTGAAGCTGAAAGAAGAGCTGGTTATTATCTTCAAGTGGGGTTATTAATGAGGGGAAAAATCATCCCCAATTACTGTGAAGCAAAATATTTCAACATTTACATATCTGAGACTTTAATTTTGATCTAGTCTTTCATGGTTTCTTAAGCTCAGACTGTATTCATTTTTCAAAATGTTCCCACAGCAAAATATCAAGGGGAACTTGCACCTATCTAAGTGATGGCTTCCCAGATGTATGCTTCAGGGTCACAGAAGTGTTGCCTATCCTTCGTTTGTTGCCAGAGACTGATTGCCCCTGAGATTCCTTCATGCTACACCATAGGAACAGTCTCGAGCTTAGACTTTGTCAGGGAAGTAAGAAATTCTGACCTATATATACTGTGTTCACAGTCTTTTTTTTTTTTTTTTTCCTTAACTAGAAACAGCCTGGGATTCATTTCATTCTTTCTCTTTTTTTTAAAGAAGGTATTGATCCTTACAAAATTAATGGCTTGGAAGTTTTGACTGTGAACCTCCTAGAATAAAACCTGCACAACACAAAGGTGATGATTTAAATTCAGTTGGACATGTGGGCAGTAGCCAGGAGATGGGAGAAATGCCGTTAGGACTGTGAACCCATCCATCAACAGAGATGCAAAGGTCTGACCTTGGTGGGTTCAGGAGGCAGGGACGTCAAACACAGTTTGCAGTCAATTGGAAACGTAGCTACCAGACAATGAAAACTCAATAATTACGCAGCTGCTTTGGTAGATTACAGATTTCCTAGAAAGCGATAGAACAGCAGCCCATGAATGGAAAAGGGAAAGCATCTTTTTTGTTGTTCAGAAACATAATTCCTTACAGCCATCAGAAATGTCCTCTGTAAACTCTCTTTTCAAAACCCACGGCGTCTGAAACCAATCGGTGCGCATTTCTGTACAGCCCATTAGTGCTTGGTTGATTTACAGTGAAACTGCTGCAGAAAGGACTGTCTTGGACAGCCATATAAATATTAAATTAATTTCTTATGAAGGATGGTTGCTATTATACTGAATATTAAATGAATTCATAACACTTGGACACTTGGAATAAATCATTACTGCGATTGCATTTTAACATTTGGCTCCAAATTCCCTTTTTTTTTTTTTTTTTTTGGCTGTTAAAGCCATGGAAAACGACTGGTTGCTCTCAAAGAAATGTGTGACTACACAGCTTTGGAGCACTGATGAATTCCCACAGCACAAGGAGTCTTAACTCGGGACCATTTACAGATGAGAGGAGGCCTGATGGGTTTTAGGTTGAACTACTGATTGTAGAAAGTTCAAAACCAATGTGTTTCTCATGAGAGACATCACAGCAAATCATCAGCTCCCAGCAGTCCTTGGTTTGCTCTGAGCAGCATCAGCAGAGAGTCTGGCACTGCAGTACCAGAAGAAGCTGGGAACATCTGGCAGACTCAAAGGGAGGGAGAGCTGGATGCAATGTCTACACCCCAGGCACCCAAGGCATTCTGTATTTGTTCACCTCCAAATATCTCCCCCAAGGCCATAAGGGGACTTTTGTGTCTTTTGACTTGGCTTAGCAAATGAAGTACAACATCTCAACTCTTTAAAGGTCACAGATCTACGTCTCAAAAGTTGAGTAAGATGCACGGTTCACTACGAGGAGCCTAAAAATCAATTCTTTATTTTTCCCTTTTGTTAAAGTAGAACAAGGGGAACCTCAGTCAGTTCATTATAGCTCTCTGCTGTCTGAGGGACAGCAGCTTCAGTGCAGAAATTTATGTCAGGAGTAACCTTGTAGGGTGGGAGCTGTTCCTGTAAACAAAATTAGCTGACTGTCAGACTCGTCTGCTTCTTAATGCACAGATGGTTGTGAATGTGTGTATTTCCTTCTTTCCAAAGATTTTGGCGTCTGTGCTTTGGATGTCTAAGTCATCCAAGGTTTTTCAAATGAAAATTGCCCAAGGTATTTAAATTAGAAGCAAAAATTAGAAAAGCTGCTACCACATAGGAATATTAATTGTTCATTATACAGGGCTTTAGTTCGTGTAGTTAGTTTGCATGTGCAAAGCTGCCAATTAAAGAGACTCAAAGTGCTCACTGCTGCACAATAGCCATTTCTCCAGAGCCCCACAATGGCTATTGTGTTCTGTCACTGACCTTTAGACACCTTCAAATGCATATTGACACAGTATGCTGGGATCATTCGAGTTATTGTTTCAGCGAGCCAGGGAGAAAGAAGAGGTTCTCAATTTTGTGAAGAGCTTTACAATTTGATTTAATGATGACAGCAGCAATATTTCTTAATCAGAAAGTGAAAAGAAATGCCGGAACGTTTTCTGGTTCTTCAAGTGAGTTCCATCAATCACAGAGGAGTTCTTCCTCCTGGTCAGGGAGAGGAGATGTTTCTCAGGGGCATTCAGTCTTTTCTGCTACACTCAGGGGAATGAAGTTGGTGGCTTTGACCCATTGGTGCCATACGGCCCTCCCTTCACTCCCACAGATTGTGCCTGGGCGAACATCTTGGCAGGACGAGTCCTTTAATCTATAAAGTAACCCATAAGTGACAAAAGACCTTAATAGTTGGAATGGGTCCCAGGAGATTGGCATCTGGAAACATGATTCAGACTTTGCTCTTCAAAAATCACTGGATATTGGTAGTAACAACCGTGTTTTACTTTTGCATGTACAGGTCTTAACATCTGAGGTATTTCTGCTTTCTGACGAGTCCATGACAGGAAAGAGCGCAAGCAAGAACTTTCAGTAGCAGAGAGATTGCATTCTCTACATTTACAAGTAGATTTACTACTCTGAGTGTCTTCTAAAAGCTTATATTTATTTCACTGTAGTCCTCTTATTCTTTAAAGCTGCTTTGAGAAATGACTTCAACACTCAGCACATAAATGAACGTTGTTTTAAACCTCGCATGGGACATTTTGTCTACAAACAAATGAATTGCTGGCTTGTATTTCCAGAGAGCTTTCCTGCTCAAAGATAGAGAAATCATTCTGTTCCATCAGTACTGTGTTTGCTGGGCTTGTTTTTCCCTCTCTATATTTGTGTATGCTTCAGATGGACACATAGCAGAATTTCTCACACTCTAATAAAACATGCAAAGCCCATTGCATTTCTTCAGTAAAAGAGGCTGAGCTTTATTTTCACATTAATTGAAAGAGTACTTTTATTTTGTTTGCTTTACTCTGCATCAGAAACCACAGCAGAACTTTGAAACTACACGTGCACTGACATTGTGACTGCCACGTGTGAACGCTGCAGTCTGTATTCAACCATAAGGCAACACTTGCACCTTAACATTAGAGGAGAGGTGACCTACCTCTGGGATGAAGATGTGGGTAGGAGCAGTGTGATGTAGGATGAGGAGAGAAGCAAGGCCTGGAAAGAAGTATAAAAACACTGTTTCATGCCTCCTCCTCCCTGCATTAAGTCTGTATCAAGCAGTAAAATGGCAAGCAGCAAATGAGGCAGCCAGGATGAGCGGTTCTCTTGCTATCCCACCAGTCTTTTTTCAGCATAATACCTGCTGTGTTACTTTGGGGGAGTTTCTCTATTAGAGAACAGGAGTCCCTGGAAGAGAGAGAGCAGCAGTCTGGTTGTCTACTTCTCTGCATGGAAGGTTTGTACCTTTGCTGTTCCACCAACTGCAGTATTTCTTTCAAGAGGCCCATGATCACTGCTTGGGTGGATTCGAAAATAGAGTTTGTCTATAATAGGTCCTTATTCTGCTGAATAAGTCCAGAACTTCTGGATGGGGAGGGATTTTTGTAGGATGTTTATTAGCAAATGCTCAGGTTTTACCTGAATCTGCCCCTATGTGAGGCAGCCTGGGGAAGTTTCCTGCCACACAGTGAGATTTTCCAAAAGGAGAACAAAGGGACGAGGGATGTCTGCTCGCTGCCCACATTTCCTTTTGTTGCTTTGCAGAAGGAGAAGAAGAGCGGGCTGCTGAAGCTTCTAGCAGGAGCATCAACAAAAAAGAAGTCGCGTTCACCACCATCCGTGTCTCCCACACACGACCCACAGGCGGCCATTGAAGGAGTCCTCCAAGGGGCAGTGGGACCAGAGCTCTCCTCTCTCTCCAGCCACGGCAGGGCAGGCTCATGCCCTATCGAGAGCGAAATGCAAGGAGCAATGGGGCTGGAGCCTCTGCACAGGAAAACAGGCTCCTTGGATTTGAATTTTTCCATCCCTTCTCCTGCCAGGCAGCCCCTCTCTTCCATGGCAGCTATTCGGCCAGAGCCCAAGCCTTTGCCTCGAGAAAGGTAAGCTGTGCATCTCCAGAGGTCACTGCATCCTCAGAGAGCATTTGGAGGAGGGCTGCACAATTAATTTGCTCAAGGGTTGTTAAAGTTCTGCAGCTCCGTAGATTGACTGTGAGTGGCTGTGCCTATGCCCGTTGAAAACTTTCTGGCACATAATGCAGGTTTAATTTTTCATTCATTTAAAAACATGTTTCTGGAGAGCAGCGCCTTGCCATGGTAGCCTTCATCCAAGCAGAGAGGACAGCAATGCTTTCTCAGGCCAAAGAGAGTAGATACTGTGGACAAATACCTCTTTGGGATCCCAGTGTTTTAATAAATTTATAAGGCTGTCACGTGGCAACTTTGGAACAGTAGCTGTGGAAACTTGAAAGAAACTGTTTTTATGTGGTTGTATGAAAGAGGTAAATGAAATGCACAGGGCAAGTCAGCCTGGCCCTGAATCTAGACAGTGTTACGGAGCAGATGATGCAGGGCATACGAAGGGCTACCACAGGACAGCCCAGACCTTACGTGGTGTTCTACAGCATTCAGCTTGGCATTTGGCTGGGAAGGTGACAATGACAATGGCACTGTAACAAACTTTTCTAAGGCATCTAGCCTGTGAACCGCAGAGTGCTATGCTTAGCAAACTGTACACAGCTGACTAGCAGATAGTAAGAAGGTTGCAGGCTGATTCATTGTTTGGCACTGAATGTAACTCTAGATCAGGAGGCACTAGAAAAATGAGTTGGGCCATGGGCTTGCACTGTCCAACTTAAAGTTTCTGCTATTTGCAGGACTGAAGTGGGAGGTCAGTGATGAGGAGGGCAGACCCATTGGTACTGAGCTAATCCAACTCTTTCATAGAAGAACACAGAGTAACAGCATTTTTAATGAGAGCCAAATTCGAGGCAAATCGGAGTGGGTGCAGGGCAAACTAAGAACAATGGGAGATTTGAAACAATGTGCTTTTGGGGAGTGATACAAAGTGCTCTATCTCATCTGTTAAGGAACAGGCTTGGGAGCAACCTGTAAGAGATTGCAGAAGGGACAGGCTTGGGAATGTTTTTATTCTGGATTGGGAGTTCTGTCTAAAAGAGATGCTGTACTTTAAGCACAGATATTACACTGGAAGCAGAAATAAATGCAGACAGGTCCTTCAGCATTGTAATGAAGGCAGTGAGAGTAGAGTATCACAGTAGTCTCTTGTCTTTAAAATCCATGAAAAACCAATTTAGTGAAAAGAGTGAAAAACCAATCCCTATTTAGGCACACTTAATTTGGTCTACATCAGTTTAGATTAACGCTATAAGAAAAGCTAAATCAATACAAACCAGATTTAGCACCGGTGTAACTACATCAGTGGAATGCTGCACCTTTAGTTAAACATAGCTATGAAAAGAAACCAGTAAGAGCATTCCCTGGTGCCTTGGAGCTGGCTGTCGAGGTGCTGCTTTCCAAGCTTTGATGTGGAAGAGTCTGGACACATTGTTTAATATGCCAGGGCTGGTCCCATATCCTATACATTTCTCATTTCATCTCAGGGGGGTCCTGACAGTGAAACATTCAACTAATGACAATTTTAAGCAGCTGCAGTGAAACAGAATAGAACCAGAGGGACACTCTCAGCCTTGCTGGAATGAGGAGAGAATAGATTTAGACCGCTACAACTGTGCAAATACTTCCAACTGCAATACATGGTGGTGAGGAACTTCCTCTCATTTTCAGCATTTTGATTCTCGAGTCTTAAATCTGAAAATAAGCTATAATTGAAGTAACCCTAATTATACACAGCAGGCAAGATTCTCTAATTGATTTATGAATTAACTTCCATATCATTGGTGTATCTGCATTCCTTAACTGATCATACGGGTTTTTTTGTGCCATAATGGGAAATATTAATTACCTTCATGCACTAGGAAGGATAATGCTTAGTCCTAGAATAATCTGAGCAGATACATTAAACACTTGTCGCTTAGAAATTCATCCCACATCCATCTGTGCTCATTAAGTCATCAAATTGCTCAGAAGTACCGATTATTTAAAAAAAAAACAAAAAAACAAAAAAAAACAAATTACAGTTTTCAAATCACTTGTTCTCTTCACATCTGGCAGTGGAGGATCTTGCATTCAACATCACTCAGCTCCATATTTTACTTGTTTGCATTTTGGTGCATTTTATCTGCACAGTAGGAGCAATTCTCCGAGAAAGAAAAGGGAGGGAAAGGGAAAAAAATAAAATAAAAAATAATAAAAAAAAAGGTTAGATAAACAGATTCAGATGCTGGCTGAAATTTTAAAAAGCTGCAGAGCATTTCAGTGCACTTAGCTGTACTTGGCTTTCTATCTCCCAACGCCCATCTGTGCACACAGAGACAGAACGCTGGAAGGTTGGAAGAAGTAGCACATTCCTTAATATTTACAGCATTCAAAATGAGGCTCACACAGGCAGCAGAGCACCGCTACTTCTTACAAAGGGGTTGGCTTGCATCTCTGGCCCTTGCCATGTCCAGGCTACTGATGGAAACCAAGCAGACGTACCTCAGGCCGCATCGCACAGGAGGTGTGTTACAAAGCCCTAATTGCTTGCAGCTTTAACAGGAGAATCGCCTGTCCCGCTGCCTGACAGCACAGCCCTTTGTGGGAGCGCAGCCTGTCAGAAAGGAAGGTGAACTGAGCTTCACCATCGTAGAAATGCTGCTAATTTTTATTCTGTTCATTTTTTGTACATGGAGAAAGCAAGGAAAGCAATACCGTATCTTACTCCATTTGATATTTCAAAACCTGGCTGCGGGTGGCTGCATCGGAAAGGAAAATGGTCCTACCTCCCCTGTCATTTACCTTTGACGTTTAACTGGTTTGCTGGGATGGTTGTTGCCCATCTCTGCCTTCTGAGTGTAGCTTCCCACAGTACATTTTTAAAACCACTTTCCTTCTGCTGCTCCCCGTTGTAAAGCATGCCACAGTCTGAGCAGCGGAGCGGAGAAATTTCCCAGGTGGTGTCCTTGTCACTTCGTGTTGCAGTGACTGACTGTCAAGTGAGTACCCCGTCATGCTGCATGTGCCCCACACACTCTTTGCCAGCAGCTGCTCCATTCAGCAGCTGCTTGTGCAAGAAACTGGACTGGTACAGCCGATCCCATGCAGGGATGCCATCAGGCAGCCACAGACTCACCCCCATCCCCCTGGACACCGGTGGCTCACGTGGAAGAGGGGTATGCCGTCTGCCTAGCAGCACCAAAAGCAAAACATTTGCCTTGCCACCCCCTTCAAGAAAATATGACTGTACGTTAAAGCAAAATGGGAGAGCTGAGTGTATGTGTGTGAGTCATGTTCCCCTCGCTGGCTGGCACCGTTCCCAGATGCAAACCTGAGTAAAACATGTCACGCGTTGTTGACTCTTTTATAGTAACTGGCACTAATTCTGCCATGTTATAGTCTGATAAAGCGGTTGTATCCAGACTTACTGTCACGACTGGCATATCTGCCTGGCGTTTATATGGTTTTCAGGGAGCCTTTGAACAAGTGGTAACCACAGCAGCACTGCAGAATTAGATAGGAGCAGTGAGTGTGACCTTTAAAATAGAGCCTTCCTCGTTTCCATCTATCCCTTCTACAAATCACTGCCACATTAGAAATTGAGCTCCCCATTCAAGGAAGCATTCAAGCATGTGCTTAACGCTCATTGACTTCAATTTTGTCATGCACGTATATCTTCTTTGCCAAAAGGGAAAGCAAAGGAAGGGCTTTTTTTCTTTCCTGGAAAGTGATACCAGAGAAATGACCCTAGGAGTATGTTCTGACTGAGCAGTGACATGTATGCACACGGTTAAGTGCTCCTATGTCTTGGGTGCTTGCCTCAAGGTTGAGAAACTGGGGTCAGCCATCTCGGAAATTGAGTCCTGCAGTGCTTCCAGCAGAGGGTGAAGGATCCAGCTGAGGTTTGTTCTTCTAAGCCTGCTGTTTCAGACAATGTAAAACAGAGCAGTGGAACAGGTTCTGGCTTGTAGTTTGCAGAGGTGCTTTGCAGGTCTCTGCAATGGGTCAGTGAAAGGATGGAGAAACAGAGCTCCAATGATAAGCAGGAGCAGTGGTTATCTGGGCTGGATGCTCGGTTGTCACAGATGAGCTATCCCCTCGCAAAACAGATGTCACATCCCAACACACCAGGGATCTGTTGGATTCTCAGCACTGAACTCCTGAAGCCTATTGTCATTTCAGTATTTTTACAAGCAGAAACCTGGAATAAAGCTTTCAAACTCAAGCACTGTAAATGGCTCCAGATTGGAGATTAGCTTTGCAGGCCTGATTTGCCTTGTTGCACCTCTATTTTTGCAGCCGCTGTAGGTCTGCCAGTCTAGTGGACACGCATATTCACTCAGGGAGAAGATATTCAGTATTTTGTTTCTTTTCCTCAGCTTTTAATTACTGGTGAGTTCTGATCAGTACCGTTCCATGCCTGTCTGTTCACAATGACAGCCTGCATGAGCAGTTTAGAGCAGGCAAGTGACTCCTACGCAGCTGAAGTGCATGAGATGAGGCTTACTCTGTGGAAAGTGTGGCACGAGGCCTCGCAGCTGGAGCAGTCAGACATCCACGTGCCTCACACCTGTGCTTCTCAGCCAATTTCTCTAGGGTCGCTCACCAGACATCTCCCAGCCTTTGCAGAAGATGAGGTAGCTTCAGCAAGCTCGTATCTCTTCCATGTCAGAAGCTTGACTTGCATCCAGAGCAGGACATTGTGTGCACTAAATGAGGCAGGCATCCTGTGGGAAAAGTAATACGTGATCACGTAATGGAAGGCTCAATTGAAAGCAAGCAACATGAAGTCATGGGCAATCTTAGACTCTTATTTCTTCTTCTCAGATGTGTGGTTGTGAAATATTCCTGCTCTTTTAAGGTGTCTTTATGCATCTACATGTCTGACATCTTGAGTCACTCTTGCTTTTTTAAAGGCAACAAAAGCAGAACCTCATCATGTAACGCAGAGGTGAAGAATTTTAGCTGCACCTTGCACACATCAGCGGTGATAGTGAAGGGAGAGCTGGATGGGACAGCTGACTGCAAGGACAAGTGCTGTAAGGACACAGCTAGGGGTTTCATTTCTTACTCAGCTCTCTGATCCCTTCCCTCACCTTCCCCATTCACCAGTGCCCAGGCAAACCAGTTACCCATCCCTGCTGGTACTGCTCCCAGCCTCCCCTTATGTATTTTCTCTTGGGCACTGAGGACCCTCCCCAAACCATATCATTCTCTCTGAGTTTGAAGTGCCCAACCCAGGGCACAACATAGAGTCTGTGCCCTGGAACTGAAATAGGAAAGAAGCCCATTGCTGGGAAATGCAACTGCTGATGTCCCACAGAGTTCATACAAATTGGCACATCAGCCAGCAGAGATTTTGACTTCATTGCCCTCTGACCCTCTACTAAACATGTGCCATCTAGGGGCATTTTGAACCTTACCAAGAGCAGGTGAATTTTTGAAGGAACCTGACTGACCAGTAGGGCCAAAGACTGGGGCTTTCTTAGAAGGCTGGGCAGAGTATGAAGATGCAGTTTGCAAGAGAAAATACCCAATATCAGTAACAACAGGTGGAGGTGCTCGCCTCACTTGTAATCAGGTTTGCTGCCCAGCTACTTGGCTTTTGTGAAAGTTCGTAATTCAGAGATGTAATGTGACATGGATAAAATAGAGGTGTTTCTGAGATTCGTCTAAGATGTCAGGAAGCAGTTTGGGGTAAGAAAACATGCAGTGTTATCATAGCTTCTCAAAGACTAGGGGACAAAAAGGGAAATAAAGAGCGGAGATATAAATGGAAGCAGAACGTTGGACTGCCTTTTTGGGAGCGAGGGAAGGGAAAAGATCTCTTCTGCCAAAAAAATAAGACCAACATATATTTGCAGTGAAGTTCTGGGGGAAAAAAATCGAGGCTGAAATGCCACCTGGAGGTCTCAGAGTGGCAGCACACGCTCTGACAGGAGCGATTTATGGTGCCTGCGAGCCCCTTGCTGGCAGCCAGGCCGTGTGATCATTTTTCTGTTCTCTGCAATCTTGATTGTTCTGGCTCTGCCTGGTACTGCTTCTAAAACCTCACAAGGGAAAAAATGCAAGCATCTTTTTGGTCCTTCACGGAGGATTTCTTAACTGATTTGCAAGGTCTTTTATATCTAAGATTTCGTTACTCTATCAAAAACACTTCGGTGTTATCCCATGAAGTACCGTAGTTAATTGAATTTAAACCACAGCACTTGGGGTTTCCTTAAATGGGAAGAAGTGCTTCATCTTGCGAGGCAGTGGCTGAGATTTATTTATTTAACTCTCTAAGGAAATGCTCTGAGAATCCCTTTAATGAAGATGGGCACATTCTTACTGAGCGTGGTCACCTCCCTCCTCATGTGAGCCATTTAGGGAGTAGCGACTCCGTGCTCCTAAGGTGTACCCTGCCTTTAAAAGGAGGGCTGTGTACTTCAGACATGAGGTGTTGGCAGTTCCAGTGACCAAGAATCTTCTATATTTTTGAACTGATCTGCCAAAATGGCCTGGGGCTGCCTCTGCACCACTCGGCTGCTGTCTAGGTCCATCCCTCCTCTTCCTCAAAGCTTTCTGGGATCCTGGAGAGCAGTTTGAGTGCACTGCGATCGTACATAGAGTTGGGAGATCTGAAACTTGGCATCATCTTAGCTAGAATTGTTCCACTCTGATAATTTAATTAATCAACACTGCGGCAGAGTGTTTGAAATAATGTGTGCATTCGTTTGCATAATGGTTGTAATTGGCAAAGCCTCATAATATAAGTGTAGCAGTTCTACAGATGATAGTGTGATAGACCGTTTTCCTGCAGCCAGCCAGAAGCACACTTTTCAACCTCTGCTATTTGCTTTCCACAGAGAAAGGCAGTGACAACTAGATTTATTGACCAAGGGATCGAGATGACCAACAGATTTTTGATGGTGCTTGAACACTATTTTCTACATGACTTTGTTGCCATGTAAAGTTAACAAGACTGTAGTCAGGTTTTGGAGCAGAACCTCCACTCCAAATGTAAGGTGTCCAACCACATAGCCAAATATGGCATTTTCACTGTCATGTCAAAACTAAATAGGGTCCCTAACTTCAGAACAGTGGTCACTATGTGCCCAAAAAATGTCTGCAAAGAAAATCAGCAGCTGCTTCTCAAGAGCTCCCTGCTTTGGTACCATCTCACAGGAATCACAGAATCATAGAATGGCTTGGGTTGGAGGGGACCCCAAGGATCATCAAGCTCCAATCCCCTGCCACAGGCAGGACCACCAACTTCCAGGTCTGGTACCAGACCAGGCTGCCCAGGGCTCCATCCAGCCTGGTCTTGAACACCTCCAGCAATGGGGCATCCATGGACTCTCTAGGCAGCCTGTGTCAGCACCTCACCACTTTCACGGTGAAGAACTTCTCCCAAAGGAACAGCTTCAGGGAGAGCTCCAGATCCTTCAGTGCATGTTGAAATCAGTCCTAAATGACAGGCTGATATTTTAAATAAATACTTGCCTGTTAAAAAAGTGACTGAGGAATCAGAAGCCATCCAGTGGTTGTGGAAATATGAATCCTCAGGAGATGGGCTTTAGATAATCAATTGTCATCTTTTAACAATCTTACCATATTAATTACTTTGCAACTAGCAAGACATTTATTGATAAGGATGCCAGAGAACAGTGAATGTATGTGCTCTGAGGAAGAAGAGTAAAGCAGAAATACATTCCCAGCCCTGCACACCAGTGCACTGACGTGAAAGGGTCCAGTCTGTGTTCCCAGGATGATGAGGCTGAGAGCAGAACAGCTGTATGGGGACCATCACTGCTTCATTGCAATGGAGTAAATGGAGTGACACATAAAAGCCCAGTTCCCAGAGAACCCTGAAGGTGGCTCAGGGTAAGGGCTCCCTCTTGGCTTAGAGAGTGTTTTGAAAGTCATTTCTTATCTTTCCTACTTAGTTTCCTTTCCAGGTCTGAGGGACCTAAAGTGCATTCCCAAGACACACGGTAAGAAGAAAATTGTGAAGTGCTTTAGTTAGTTTCTGCTGATATCGAGGGCAGCTGGCCAGAGCACTGCCAGTTCCAATTTGGGATAGCATGGATGCAGTAGTGTGCAAGGCTGTCACTCCAGGCATCTGACAACACATCCTGCTGTCACAGTCCAGCTATATGGCATGTCCCAAGCACACCCGCCAGTCAAACTGGCCAGAAAGCTCCCCATGGTACTGAGCTTTGGTAGAAAATGTAGCAGCGTCAGATGCAACTGCTTTGCAAAAGCCTGACTTACTGATGTTTCCAAACGCATTTTTCCTTAAAATTTCTGATTCAAAGGAAGTGAGGGAAAGAGAGAAGCGATGTGATGTCTCTGATTCACATCAGCAGTATTCCTTAAATCCAAAGGAAGTTTGTCCTGGGTGAGCCCCTGGGGCCGTTGGCCTGAGGAACTGAGCCTGCACAGGCACACTCCTGGACCAGGTCAGCCCTATGTGGGCTTCAGGCAGCTGATGGGTGGATGTGTGTCTGACGAGGTCTTTGCCCTTCTGTTTCTGAAGGTACCGTGTCGTGGTCCCCTACCCGCCGCAGAGCGAGGCCGAGATCGAACTGAAGGAGGGTGACATTGTGTTCGTGCACAAGAAGCGGGAGGACGGCTGGTACAAAGGGACGCTACAGAGGAATGGCAGGACGGGACTCTTCCCCGGGAGCTTTGTGGAGAGCTTCTGAGGACGGATCGCCGCTCTTTGGACTGGAGGAGCTTTCAGGGGAAACTGCATAGCACAAGAAGAGACCGCAAAGGGAAACTGGACTGATAACCACTGCCATTTTTATTTCCAAAGACTTCCCCCAGGCCCTTCAGTCCACAGCTTCGGAGACACAGCACTCCACTGTGCTTCTGGAATCGCGCGGTGCACACGGTGGTATGTTGAAGTAGTGCCTTCCACCTGGAATCACGGACTGAAAGGACGCCCACACGGACTGTACGTAGCCTAAACTCCGGCTGTTAACCCTTTGTGTAAATTATAGAGAAAATATCTTTAAAAAAAAAAAAAAAAAGATTAAGAGGAAAGTTGTTATATTGCTGTAACTTATTTGTCAGAGCTGCAGTGTTCTTATTACTGGCCTATGCAAGATGGATTTGAGAGTTCACGGAGGTGTGCTAGGAAGCTCTTGAACTGGGATTTTGTTTTTCCTGAGGGGAAAAGAGGGTGGGGAGGGTGGAGAAAACCCCGGCTAAAGAATCACGTGTCGTCATGCAAGAGAGAGCGAGGAGCCCAAAACGTTAACGTCATGCTTTCTATATACCTCAGAGATATGCTGCGTGAGTTTGTCAGTAGGTGTGTCAGTGCTCAGAGTCCCCGTCACACGCTGTGTCCCAGTGCTACCGCCGGGCGGATGTTGGAGGAAGCACAGCTCCACCATCAAACTGTGGTTATTCCAGCAGAATCCCTTTTGCCTGTCTTCTGCCCTTATTATATGCAGCATGGATTTTTGTCCTTCAGTATCACTTCCCATCGCTTTTTTGTATGACGTACCTTTTTACTGTAAGAATTGTTATACTTTATATATATTCCTATTAGATCAAGACATTTCCTCTTTTTCATACATCTGGTGCTATTTTTTTTAACTGTTAAAGATTCGGTTTGGTTAAACAGAGAGGCTGCAACAAGATTTGCGTTCAGCATACGAAATTAGAAGTGTACCTGAAGATCGAGTTCAGACTGTTCATGCTTCATAGAGGAAAAGAGAAAAAGCTGCTTGGTCACTGGTAAATATCCTGGGAGCGACATGCCCGTGCACCGTGCGCACGTGCGCTCCCTCCTGCGTCTTTGTAGTATCTGAAGACCCATGCTGAAACACAGCGTTCTGTCTGGAGAGTGATAATGACTCCAGAATTGGAAGTAATTCCTAAAGGAGTCATTTTAATGAACTTTTTCATGGCAATAAGAAGAACACTGCAGGTTCTAGCTTGTGCAGGGACCGTGGAATTTTCCTCTGTCATTGCATCATGGAGATGAGAGCTGATCTGTGGCGGCTGTAATGAGCATTATCAAAATGTGATTTCTTACTGTAGAAATGTACAGTTTTGGAGACTGTTCAATTTCTTATAATGGTCAAGCTACAATACAAACCGTATCAGGCAATATAAGCTTCCATCTACCAGGGACTTAAAGGTGCAATAAGTGTAAAGCAAGTTCAGTCAGTTATTCCTACAAATGAGAAAAGTTCAATAATGCAATTGTGAGAGTACTTAAAAAGAGCTCAGCTCTTGCTGAATGAAACGTGATGAAAGAATTTTCTTAACTGTATCTGTACCTTGGCTGTTGGCCAGGGCCAACATGTGGTGGTCATTTAGGAGCATGTTGGAGGCACTGTAACCTGGAGATGATCTTATTAAAAGGAAGAGGCCCAGTGGGTGAACATCGTTACTGCGTTGACAGTACTTCATATGCGAAGGTGTAAGTTTTGTTTTCGTTCAAGCCATGTCTTCTAGTACGTATCAAAAACCATATCCGTGAACGTTCCCATTTAAGTTCAGCTCTGTGACTTTGTTCTCTGCAAAAACAAGTTTCTTCTCGCTGTCACACGTAACAAACAGATCCCAGAAACGCAGTCCATGGCCAAGTATAGCACCTTCAAACAGGGAGGCATTATTTTCGGGGTGTTTCTTTTTATATTTAACATTGCCGCATTTGTTCGTATTCCAGTTTGTAATGAGTCAGCCACTAAAAGTTTAGTTACTGTTGAGAGGAAATTGCCTTTTTTAACCAATAGGAGATTGAAGAAACGTCTTCTGGAAAGACTTCTTTGAGAATAGAGCCATATCTGTCCATCTGTTTGGTCCATATCAGAACCGGTATCACTGCACCTCAAGCAGGACTGCACAGTTAGCAAGTCAAAAATGTCAGAACGAGTCTTATTGATTCTAATGAAAATTCTGGGTTAGCTCTGCCAGACACAAGGAGATTTTTCTGACAGCTTATAGTGGTTAACGTTCTCTTAAAATTCTGTTCCATGGGTGTATTTACTACACGCAGAAAAACGAAACAGGATGATGGCTTGGTTGCTGCCTGTCGTGTTTAGCCAGATCTAAAATGGGTCCAGATTTCCACCTTTGAATGCTTAACAGGATGAAAGTTGATATGTGAGAAGATAAAGGAAAACACACAGATGTTGTGTCATGAAATCAGCGCTTTAAATTATGTTTTGCAAGGGAGATGTTGTTTTTCTAATGGGCAGCAATCCTTGCGGTCATACCTCCTGCAAAGAAAAGTATTTGCCGGGGGGATTTGGTTTGATAACAGCTGTTTCTGGCCCCTGTTTACTGCATATCATCACACTTTGGGTTACTGAGTAATCTTCTTGGACAAATCACTCCCATGCAAGGAGCACAAGTGCAGAACACAATGCAGATCGGTGATACAGAAAAGTGATCCAGAGCCACTTGGAAAGCCCTGGACTGAGAGAAGCTTGATGTGTGCTGTGGTCTCACTTCCACCTGTTATACAAGGGAAAGGGGAAAGAGATCTGCATCTCCTACAACAGGAGAACAAAGAGAAGAATCCCTCTGGCAGCCTCAGTTCGTAAAACACCAGGTTCGCTGTTTTAGAAGTGCGTTTGAGTAATTGAACAATCCCTTTGAACTTTGCACAGCTCAGAAAATGTTTTTGTTATACATGAATGTTAACGTGATTTAGGAAATGTTGGCGGATATGAGTACAAATGAACTACAATGACTGTGTTTCTGATTCTTTAAGTAAAATAAACATTAAGGCAACTTGATGGAGGTTTCTCTCTTTATTAGATGGCAAAGTGAACAAACAACATAAATAAATGGCTCCGAAGCTCACAAGGAGCACTTCCTTTCACTAGTAACTCCCCCATAAGTAAAGATCAGGTAATGGTAAGATTTACCTGACCAGAAGACACAGTCTGCTTCTGGTTCTTCTTTCAGCAGAAGTCAAGTTTGAGAAGTCAACGCTGACCTCAGATGTGAAGAAAACACCCCCACACCTCGTGCTTTGCTCCTGCAATGGCAATTCCAGCCGTGTTTCAAAAGAAAAATAATAATCGTAAAATTGTTATGTGGGTTGGCCATTCCTAGACGCTTGTGGAGAGCAGAACCACCTGGACAACATCTGCGGGGCTGTCCCGCATCCAAGAGCTCCTCCTGACATCAGCAGCTCCTTACAACATGGTGAACCTGGCAGACGTGTGGCTTAGCTAGTGGCTGCCAATCCAAATAAATGAGCTGTCCTGGCAGGGGAGCCAAGCAGTGATCCAGTCTGGAGAGGGCCCTGTCCTTTCCTCCTAGCCTTTCATGTAGCAAAAATAACTTTCCAGTCCGCCACAGATGTATTTCTAATTACTGGGTGTGTGTGTATCCCCACCCACAGAACACCACTTGGTTTTTATCAGCTGTATGAGACAGGCAACCAGGCAGGGGCTGGCATTTTAGTTCTGTCCCCATCCCATACTTACAGGGACAGCTCAGCTCAGCCCACTCCCATGTATACTTATCACATGGGGACAAGCTTCCCTTTTTGCCCCCACCTGGGTGAGACTCCACTGCCCATAAAAAGAAACCAGAATCCCCAGGGTTTGGCAAAGAACTCATAGAACGATGGATCACAGCATGGTTTGGATTGGAAGGGACCTCACAGCCCACCCAGCCCCAACCCCTGCCATGGGCAGGGCTGCCCCTCACCTGCTCAGGCTCCCCAGGGCCCCATCCAACCTGGCCTTGAGCACCTGCAGGGATGGGGCACCACAGCTTCCCCCTCGTCCTGTCAGTATCTCCCCATGTAAAAGTGTCAGTTCCCCTCCTGCTTATAAGCTCCCTTCATGTACTGGAAGGCCATAGTGAAGTCTCTCCAAAGCCTCCCCTTCTCCAGGCTGAACAAGCCCAGCTCCCCTCAGCTGTCTTCACAGGAGAGGTACTCCCTCTGACCATCCTCATGGCCCTTCTCTCAACCCACTCCAACAGGGAAAGGCGCTTTCAGTGCAGAGATACCTGAAACACCTACAAGCCACACCTCACTCTTCTTATTTCCCCCTAGCAGCAGCAGCAGCAGCACACTGACCTGCTCTTCTTCATGGGTGCATTCGTGTGCCCTGCAGCTGCGCCCTCACAACACACCAATCAGACACAGGGCGGGGGCAATGCGTTAAGATCTTCCCCAGCTCTCCCCAGATAATTGCCTGGGATCCGCATTAATAGAAACATAAATTGACTGCTGCTGTGCTAAATGACAGCTGGGTTTTGTTTGACGAAGCTAGGAAGTATCTTATTCTGAACGTCAGCACCGAACAATCTAAATGCAAATTGCAAAATGTTTGGGGGCAAGGAGGCTGTTTATCTTCTGATGAGGTTAGATAATAATGCAGCCAGGGGAGAGAATTGCCTTTCAGTTCATAAAGGCTATCAAAACACGTGACAGTTAAACGGTGGGGCCAGCGTTTACATATTATTCTAATGGACCAGCATCAGCTCTTTGCTGTGGGTTTTCATTTCACAAATGATATTTTTAAGATGAGACGTAGTGCTGCAGTTCCCCTGCTGTACTTCAGCAGGCCGCACGCCCCGGAGCTGTCATGGAGCCACCAGCACAACCCTGGTACATCCTCAGCTCCTCTCATGTCCTCTCCAATAAGACACAGTGCTCCAGCACCCGATCTGGGGGTGACTGCCAGGGGCTGCCTCCTGCTCTGTGGGTCCCAGGGCAGCACACCGTGTGCTGCAGCATTTTCCAGAGGGAAGACAGTAATTCTCTTTACCCTAATCCTGGAGTGAAGAGGCACCCTTGGCCATTCAGATGGAGTATCAACAACTCAGCGCTTTCAACATCTCCCTGAACTTCTTCCGCAGAAAATTTGTGATATAATCGTCTCTGAGCTTGATTTAGGCTCCTGCATCTCTCCATAAATTAAGGAACGGTTTTGCGTTTCCTCCAACAGCTTTGCTCATCCGGGAGGCAGAGGAAGGAAAGGATTAATGTGTTATTTTTATTTTCAGTTTTAAATATGTCTCATGCAGAAAAATGCTCCTTTACGAGGGAGGAAAAAAGCAACAGATCTGCAAAAACAACACAAGTTGTTTGTGTATAAATCGTTGGGCTCCCAAGTTGTTTAATACAGGGCAGCCAAACAACTGAAATGCAGGATGAGAAGGCCACTGGAATGTATCGATGGCCTTTTCACTGGTACATTTAGAGATGGTGACCCAGAAGTGGGGACAGCAGCCCAACTGGAGGGCTTTGCCCACTGTTTGGAGGCACCCAGGTTTGAGTTCTCTCAGGGCGCCTTCATGAGGAATCTTCACACCGTGGGAGGACTGAGGACAGGTTGGCAAATCCTTCCCATTAATTTACTAATGTAAACGTATGTGTACATGCATTAATTCATATATATATCATCATTACTACCATCATATGCAGCCAAAGCTCCAGGTGTGCACCTACAGCAGAAGAGGGAAGAAGATGCTGTGGGCCAAGCGGGCAGCTCTCCTTGTGGAACTGGCCTAACTCCAATGCTGTCCTGCAAGTTTGACAATGAAATAACAAGCATTGAAGAAATGCCACAATGTCCCAACTTCCATTTGACATCAGGTGACTCTGGAGAAGGCACATTTAAAGTCATCCTTCCTTCAACTCTTTGGTCCTCAGAGAAGAGCCCTTCATGAAACAAGCCATCATTTATTCAAGTTTAAAGGCATAAAAGCATGTTCTTGAGCATTTCTCACAACTTTATTTGGAGAGATGTCACAACATTGCATCTCCATTTATCGTGAGCATGGAACAGTAACATGCTCTGGAAACACACAACCAATTAAGCATAAATTTTGCCCAAGAGAATTTACAAAAAGCACTCCTTCACTTCTAAATTAATACTCGTTAGGTGAGAGCAAGAAAGAGGGCTAGCTGGTGTGGAGAAGATCAGGCTGCCAGCACCTGCTCTGATGGGCATTAATACAAAGAAGTAGAGTTCAAGTGAGTATCCAAGGCATATGTCACTCACAGTGCCCTGCCTGGGGAGCAATTGAGTGGGATGGGATGGAACAAGGTCAGATGGGATGGGATGGAATGGGATGGGATCAAGTGGAAGTGGGATGGAACAGGATGGGATGGAACAGAATGCAGTGGGATGAGATAGGATGGGACAGCAGCAGAATAGATGTGTGTCCTGCATCCCCAACACCAGCTCTGCCTTGCAGCCCAGCCCCATTCAGGTGGGGAGCAGGATCCAGCCTAGTTGTGATGCTGCAGGGACAGGGACACCTGCCCAGGAGCTCGTTAGTCACAAAGCACTTGCCTGACGGTCATGATGTGATTTATTCTGTCATTAGCCTTATCTCGCATTCTAAAACTGACTTAGTTTCTAAACCGCATGAGGTTTTGTATTTTCATTAATCTCCCTGGTTTGATAGATTAAATTAACCTTTTCTAAGGACAAAAGAATTTCCTTTTTTCATTTTTTCCATGGTCAAACAAGCTGAGGGGCTGTTTCTCTGACATTTCCTTTTACTTGTGTCTGCGACTCTAAGCGGGTGTGCCTGCATCCATCCCTGTAGACCTGTCAGCAGGATATTTTCCTCTGTGCTCCCTCTGCTAATTTCTGTATGGAAGCCTTTCTGCCACCTCCCAGACGTTAATAAAATTGGAAATGAGCAGCACTGAGGATGTACACACGAGGCAGAGCAACCCAATGAGGGACTGTCCCTCATACCAATAAAACCCGCTGCATTTCTCCAGGCAGTGTGTGAAATATAGTGGGCACATAACATATCCCGCAATAATAGGCTGCCATGTGACTCCCCGGCACCCAGGGAGCTATCATTTTCAATTAGGAAAAAGGCCTCTGGCACGCAACAAAGACAGCAGAAGCACCGCGTGCAGTTAAGGTGAAATTTAACTTCGTTAAGGCTCGATGCAGATTAGTGTTTGCCTTTGTCTCAGCACCGTGTCCCTCTGCCACCATGCAGGAGAAGACTGTGGCTCTGGCTTTGCTGACAGCCCGATGCAGGTGTGACGGAAGAGAGAAGACCCCAAAATAACACTTGCAGGAGGCATGCAGCACAAAAGACCTTTGTAGAAAATCGAAAATTACCATCCTCACCGAGAAGGGCCTATAATTTAAACATAAATCTGCTTCTGAGGTGCTGAATATCAAGGCCAGTCATCATTTCGGGATGTAAAACCAGCCTGCTTTCTGCATGATTTAAGGCATTGCCTTTCCGTGCTCCCAGCTGGGATACGAAGAATATACAAACCCCTGGTGCCTGCCCCTTCTCACCACTGAGGGCATTGCCTGTGCCTGCGGTTCTGCATGAACCCCCTAACTGCTTCATACAGTTACAGCAAATCCAATTCATTATTCTGGACACATCTCTTTAATGTCTCACTTAAATCTCCTAATGAGTTTAACTTGTTTTTTTACCTCAAGTTTCCTGAAGTGAATCTGCTACAATATTGACCTGTGTTTATTAAAGCATTTCTTATATTTTCAACTGAATACACTGCCCAGAGAAGCTGTGGTACCCCATCTCTGAAGGCACTCAAGGCCAAGTTGGATGGGGTCCTGGGCAGCCTGAGCTGGTGGGGGGCAGTCCTGACCACGGCAGGGCTGTGAGGTCCTTTCCAACCCAAATCCTGCTGTGATGGTATAATTCTGATACAACGGGCCCACCATGGCACCACCCACTCTTGCAGGACCCTGCCTGGGTCAGAGCTGGGTGTTCATCAGCATGAGTGTAGACACAACCTTGCAGCTGTGGCTGTAAGGCA